GAAGTAATGAGACGTGGACGGTCCGCGGACAGACAAGGGGGGTCGCTCGCAGCCCGAACGAGATCGAGCCGCGTCATGCAGGCGAAGAGACAGAGCGAGCGAGGAGGCCAAAGCGCTCGCGATCTCGGACCTCTCTCGCTCGCCGCACGTCCCCAACGGGTGAGAAGCTCCGCCCTCGTTGCACCCGTCTCTCTCTCGCGCCCACCACGCCGCCCCCTCATCCCCCTCCCCTCGCTCTCAACCCCCCCTCGCCGCCGCCCGCAGGAGTGCGTCCGACTAGAGAAGAGCCGCGACGGGTGCCCCAAAGTCGTCAACATTGGCACGTCGCGCACCGACAGCTTTTACACGCGCAAGGCGGCTGGACAGTTTGTCAAGGGCTGAGCTGGCGCCGAGCGTGGCCGTCGAGCGAGCGAGGGGACGAGCGGGCGGCGTGGTGGGCGCGAGAGAGAGACGGGTGCAACGAGGGCGGAGCTTCTCACCCGTTGGGGACGTGCGGCGAGCGAGAGAGGTCCGAGATCGCGAGCGCTTTGGCCTCCTCGCTCGCTCTGTCTCTTCGCCTGCATGACGCGGCTCGATCTCGTTCGGGCTGCGAGCGACCCCCTTGTCTGTCCGCGGACCGTCCACACCGCCGCTCGAGCCGGGCCGTCCCTCTCGCTCGCTCGCCTCTCCCTTCCTCTTCCTCCTCCTCGCTCGCTTGCCCTCTCGCGCCGCTCGCCCGCGCATGGCCGCCCCGCCGCCCTCGCACTATGCGCTTCTCTCGCTCTCACCGAGCGCCACGCCCGAGCAGGTCCGCGCAGCGTACCTCCGCCTCGTGCGTCCCTCTCTCCCTCCCGCCCTCCTCGCGCGCCACTGACGCCGCTCGCCAACCCCGCCCGCAGGCAAAGGATCGACATCCGGACCGAGCGCCGCCAGAGCAGCGCGAGGCGGCCAAGCGCGCGTTCCAGGACCTCGCGGCGGCGTACCGCGTCCTGAGCGACCGTGAGCTGCGCCCACTTTCCTCTCTCTCTCGGGACGCTCTGACCCGGGTCTCGTTCGAGCAGCCGCCCTGCGCCGAGCGTACGACGCCTCGCTCGCGCGACCCTCCCCGCCGCCGCCGCCGCCGCCTCGCGACGCACGTCCCGCGCGCTCGCCGCACCCGCACCCGCACCCGCACCAGCACCAGCTCCCCTCGGCCCGCCGCCGCCCGAGCGCGACCCCCGACAGCCCCTTCCCAGGATTCCGCGTCCCGCCAGGCGGCTACCCGCACCCGCTCTCGCTCTCGCGGCTGCCCGAGCCGCCCTCGCACCCGCACCCGCACGGCCTCGCGCCGCGCCGCGCTCGCTCGCCGGCCCCGTCCACTTCGTCGGCGGTGCTGCGCGAGTCCGGGTCGGGCATCGCGCTCGACCCGCTCGGCGGGCTCGACCCGGTCGCTGGGCTGCTGGACGCGCTCGGGCCCGGGCTCGAGGACGGGCTCGAGGACGATGGGCGAGGGCGCGCGAGGCGCGATGAGGGCGGCGCGGGGCCGAGCTGGGCGCAGCGGGGTGGAGCGAGGGATGATGAGGAGCGATGGGCGGCAGGGGCGGGCGGGGCGAGGAGGGAGAGGAGGGAGTGGCGCGAGGGACGGAGAGAGGCGAGTGGGGAGGGGTTCGTGCGTCTCCTTTCTCTCGCTCTGCGGGTCGCGCTTCTCGTACAGCGAGGAGCCTCCTGCTGACGAGGTCACCCAGACGTGCAGAGCTTCCAGGGCATGCAGGAGGTCGAGCAGCTCCCGGGCGGCGGCATCGCGTGGAGGGGCGAGAGCGTCACGGTGTCGTTTTCCTCCGTGCGCCCCACTCTCTCTTTCCTCTCTTCTCTCGACTGAAAGGAAGCTCGACCCGCAGGGCTTCCCGCCACACCTGTCCGCACAGCGACCCACCTACGCGCCGCACGACCCATTCCCGCCTCCTCCTCCCCGACGCGCACCTTCACCAGCCCAGCTCGCCCTCCCGCACTCGCCCTCGCACACGCAGCATCGTCGATCGTCCTCCCTCTCTCACCTCGTCGCCTCGCCGGCCCTCCCGCCTCATCGCCCACCCCCGCGCCGCCCTCCCTCCCCCGCTCGAACCCCCTCGCACGCGCCCTCGCCCCTCGCCCTGCCGCCACTGCCCCCTCAGCCCACTCGCCCGCACCAGCACCCGCACCAGCACCAGCACCTTCCACCTCCCCAGCACCCTGCGGCGCGCGCACCTCGCCGGCCGCCCTCGCCCGCTCGAGGCCCGCAACTCGCGCTCGCCGGCCGGGCGCACGCGCAGGCGCAGCTAGCGCTCACGGCGCACGCGCACGAGAGCCCGCGCTCGGTGGCGGTCAGGCAGAGGAGGACGAGTGCCGGCGAGCTCGGGCGGGCGAGGGCGCCTGAGAGCCCGCTGTTTGGGTGAGAGGGAGGGAAGGAGGGAACGAGGGTCGTCGACGAGGTGCTGGGACACGTTGCGCGCTTTTCTCTCTCTCTCTCGCCTCACCCGTCCGTCTCTCGAGAGCACATGTCCGTCGTGAAAGCCTCGTCTCGTTGCACACCTCGAGAGCCGCTCAAGTCGCCCGCGCCGCCGCTGCACACCACCCCTCGCACTCGTGCTCGCCGGGCCCGACGCCCAAGCGTCCCGTCGCGCAGACGATGGACCCTGCGACGCCGACGCCGCACGCCCAGCACTCGTCGACGATCGTGCGCGCGTCGTCGAGGGTGAAATTGGGCCGCCAGTTGGGCTTGGTCGCGGTCGAGGTCGGGGCGCGTGCGGAAGCGCGGGCACGGCGAGGCGGCGGGCTATCGGTCGCAGCCTCGAGCGGGACGCAGCTGCAGATCTCGACCCAGAGCGTCTAGAGCGCGGGGGCGGCCCACACAAAGTCGACGACGTCGTCGGTCGAGAAGCGCGTGTGGGTCCCGAGGCGGAGCCACTTGAGGTGCTCGAGGTCGGCGAGGTACTCGAAGGTGGCCGACGAGACGATGTCGCCCTGCAAGATGACGGTGACGAGGTTCGGGAGCGAGGCGAGGCTTGTCGAGAGCGGGCGAGTCGAGAGGCCGAGGTCGTCGCGCCGCGCACGGTCCATGATGCTCATGCCCTTGCGGAACGCCACGTCGGCGGCGGTATCCGGCGGCGCACAGCCGGCCTGCCCGAGCGAAATCTCGAGGCGCTCGACCGTCGGTGGCAGCAGAGCGAGGTCGTCGAGGAGCGACGGGTAGACGACCCAGCCATCGATCTCGACCTCCCTCAGGCCGACGGCAAGGCTCTGGAGGATGCGGCGGAAGCCTGGCCCGAGGGACAGGGCCTTCTTGACGATGAGGTGCTTGACGAGGATGGACCTCGGCGCGACGTGCGTCGCCGTGTCGAGGTTGAGCACGTCGCCGGCGGCCGACGAGTTCAAGTGGTGCACGATGAGGAGATCCAGGCTCGAGAGACTGCCGAGATGACGCCACAAGTCCGGGGCACTCGCGTTATGCGGGTTGACTTCACAGACGATGAAGAGGTGGCGCAGTCGGGGAAAATTGGGCTGGGCGACGGTGTCGGGCGAGAAGAGGTGGCTCGCGAGCTGGTCGCCCCAGATGACGAGGAGGTGGACGACAGGCAAACGGCAGATGATGTCTTTGAGCAGGCCGATACCGATGACGTCCTCGCACGATGGCGCTGTCGCTGTTGCCGCGAGCGAAGGTGAGTGCGGGACTAAGAGACGAGGGTCGGGAGAGGGAGGCGAGCGTACCGAAGTCGTGTAGCTGCCCGGCGCCCTTGTCGCCGCACTGGAGATCGATGACCGTGTCCTTTCCGCTCGTGAAGGCCTTCTCGTACAGCCTGAGGGTGATGACGAGCCGGGCGCGCTCTGGATGGTGGGCGAGGGCCGACGCGAACGACCGGATCTTGCGCACTGTGCTGAGGCCGACCAGGCTGTACAGCCGATCGAGGAGGAAAGGATGAAGGGCCCGACAAATGCAGATCTGGTCGAGCGGGAGGTCCTCCAGGTGACTGAAGATGAGGCGGACGACCGAGGTGGGGAGGCGGACGAGGCGGCACTGCAGGACGAGGGGATCAGTCCGGCTCGAAGTGAGGAGGTAGTGAGAGGCACGCACCGACTTGGGCTGCTTCTTCCTGCGCTTGGCTGGCGCGCTGGACGGCGGCGACGAGTTCATCAAAGACGCGGCGGAGCGATGACGATTAACGCCTTCTCGGCGGCGGGGCGCTTGCGCTGAAGCTCGTGCGTGCTGCACGGGGTCTTGACTGTAGTCTGTCACTCGCCAGAGCCGATCTGGAGCGAGAGCGGTGGTGGGAAGGAGCTCGAGCGCGTCGTCCACCACCGCGTCCCTCTCGCCTCGAATCCGCCCACAACGACACGCTCGATCCGGCCTCAGTACCGCTCAGCGACTCGCGATGAGTACTCTCGGTGCGCCCAGCCAGTCCTCGTGTTCCTCGACGTATCCCTGACCTCACTCCTCCCTCCTCCCTCGGAACAGTCGAGTGGTGAGCCCCCTCCCGCTCTCTCTTAGGCGGCCCGGCCGACACAAGGAGCTGATCCATCTTCCCTGTCATGTAGCCCTATCTGCGGCAAGTTCACGACCGAGCAGTCTGTCGGGCTCCACCTCGACTTTGGCTGCTCGTCCGCCCCTGGGTCCTCCGCGAGCCAGAGCGCCACTGCGCCCACGACTGCTTCGAAGAAGACGAGCGAGAAGAAGCGCAAGGGTCCGCCAACCTCGGCCGCCTCACGCGACGCACCTCCCTCGTCGTCGCCCGTCGCTCGTCGAGCCGCACCGGCCCCATCGTCGAGCAAGAAGCCCCGTACCTCGACGACGTCTTTCCTCGAGGCGGCCAAGCCTCTGCCCGAGCTCGTACGGCCACGAGCTCTCGAGGACCTCGTTGGACAAGAGCACCTCCTCGGCAAGGGCGCGCTTCTGCGCGGCCTCATCGAGTCGGACAACCTCGGCTCGTGCTTGTTTTGGGGGCCCCCGGTTCGTCTTCCTCCTGCCACCCGTCTCTCTCTCGCGCGCGTGGCATCGCCGTGACTGACAGCATGTCTTTCCCGCAGGGCACGGGCAAGACGACGATCGCGCGCGTGATCGCAAAGACGACCTCGTCCATCTTCAAAGAGCTCAGCGCGACCAACGCGACGACGGCGCAGCTGCGCGAGGTGTTTACCGAGGCCGAGAACGTCCTCAAGATCACGGGCCGCAAGACGCTCCTGTTCATCGACGAGATCCAGCGCTTCAACAAGGCGCAGCAGGACGCGGTACGTTCGCTCGGCTCTCTCTCTCTCTCTTTCTCTCTTTCTCTCTTTCTCGCTCAGGCACACGCGCTCACCTTTTCGCGCCCCATGTGCGCAGTTCCTCCCCGTCGTCGAGGCCGGCACCATCTCGCTCGTCGCCTCGACGACCGAGAACCCGTCGTTCCGGGTCAACACGGCCCTCCTGTCGCGGTGCCGCGTCTTTGTCCTCCAGAAGCTCACGTCGGACGACGTGTTCCGCATCCTCGTCCGCGCTCTGCGCCTCCTCCACGAGCAGAAGACGGGCGAGCGCCTGCCCGAGGCGCGCGAGGTCGTCGGCGTCAAGCCCGAGCCGGACGCAGCGCCTTCAAGTCGTCCAGCTCCCGTCTCGACGGCTCCCGACCCCGTGTTTGAGCACACTGGCGCGCTCGACACGCCGCTCCTGCGGTTCCTCGCCTCGGCCGCAGACGGCGACGCGCGCGTCGCGCTCAGCTCGCTCGAGCTCGCGCTGTCGGCGACGAGGAGAAGTGACGCCGAGGGAGGAGGAGGAGGGGCGATCGACCGCGAGGAGCTCAAGCGCGGGTTGAGGAAGGCGCACATGCAGTACGACCGGTCGGGAGGTACGTCGGCTCGTTCCACTCTCTCAGGTGTGCGTCTGCAGGACGAGCCCAACGTCGACTGACTCGGGTTCCCTCTCGCGCTCGCAGACGCGCACTACGACACGATCTCGGCTCTGCACAAGTCGGTGCGGGGCAGCGACGCCAACGCGGCGCTGTACTACCTCGCGCGCATGCTCGAGGGCGGCGACGACCCGCTGTACGTCGCACGGCGGCTCGTGCGCATGGCCAGTGAGGACATCGGGCTCGCCAACCCGCACGCGCTCCCGCAGGCCTTGGCGGCGTACCAGGCGACGCAGCTCGTCGGCATGCCCGAGTGCGACGTGCGTCCTCGCTCTCTTTATCTCTCTCTCTCGGGCTCTTGGCGACCTCCCTGACCGTTTTCCTCTCCCCCTCTCGATGCGCGCGCAGTGCATCCTCGCGCAAGTCGTTGTCATGCTCGCCGAGTCGCCAAAGTCGGTGCGGGTCTACAACGCGTACAACGCCGCCAAAGCCCTCGTCAAGCGCTCGGACCAGTTCCCGATCCCGCTCCACATCCGCAACGCGCCAACTGGCCTCATGAAGCAGCTCGGGTTTGGGAAAGAGTACCTGTGCGTCCTCTCGTCCTTTCCTCCGCCTCTCTCTCTCTCACACCCGTTCCGGCGCAGATACGAGCCCGCCTACGCGCACCCGGTCTTTCAAACGTTCCTCCCGCCCGAACTCGCCGGCACGACCTTCCTGCGCGACGACGACGACCTCGAGGGCAAGACGGTCGACGAGGCGGCGCTGCGCGAGTGGGAGTGGCGTGCGCGAGGCGGGGCGAGGTGGGAGGGCCGGGAGGAGCTCGAGAGGAGGGTGAGGGAGAGGGAGGAGCGGGAACGGGCGACGGCGGCGGTCGAGGATGGGAAGGAGAAAAGTAGAGCGGGGGCAGAGGCGCAATGAACTCGTGAACGTGCGACTCTCTCGGCGAGAGCGAGTCCTGGTGAAACTCATTGCACGTCCTTCTCAACTCGCCTCGTCTCGCCGCGTCTCGTCTCGCCGTCGCAAGCCTCGTCCTCGCTACGTCCTGCACCACCCGTGACACGCATGCACCTCCCCACTGCCCTCGCACGCTCCCGCTGCGCACCGCACCGGTCCCTCGACGACCACGCCGCACGGGCCCGCCTCGCGCAGGAGCTCCCTCGCGTCGGCCGCGCCAAAGCCGCTCGGCCACCTCGGCGCCGTGCCCGGCCTGGAGCGCATGAGGTCCTCGTCGTCGGGAGGGCAGGAGCAGATGTCGAGGGTGAGGCGGCGGAGCGGGCGCGGCGGGGTGGTCGGCGAGGAGGGAGGGACGACGGCGTCGGGCGGCGCGGGGCGAGGGAGGAGGGCGAGGAGCGCCGCGAGGTCGTACTGTGTGTGCTCGCCGAGGGTGAGGCGCTCGAGGTGCTCGAGGCGCTGGATGCCGGCGAGGGTCGACGGCGAGACAACGTCGCCCTTGAGCTCGAGCGAGACGAGGTTGGGCAGGTCGAGCGCCGCCGCGCTGATCGCGCCCGAGTAGGACGTGTCGTAGATGCAAGGGCACTTTGAGCGACCGATGCGCACGACGAGGCGCCTCAGGGTGGGCGGGAGCCGCATGACGAGGTCGTCGAGCTGGCCGCCGAGTCCGATCGCGTCGAGCTCGAACGACGTGAGGCCGATGGCGAGTGCTGCGGCGAGGCTGCACACCTCGACGGGCAGGATGAACGAGCTCGGGAGCGCGAAGCGCTCGACGCGCAGAGACCGGGGCGGGAGGGCGCCGGGCGGGTCGATGTTGAGGAACCCGACGGGCAGGTCCCAGCCAAGGGCGCCGAACGACAAGCGCTTGAGCGACGGCAGGAGGCACAGGCTGGCGAGGAATTCCCGGGCGAGGTCTTGCTGAGACGGGCCCGACGGGCTGTCGTGCTCGTGCTCGCGTTCGCTCGACCTCGGGTCCTTGTCGGGGTCGAGGCGGAAGAGCCGGCCGAGCTCGTTGTCAGGGCGCGTGTACGGCGCGATGTCGAGTCTGGCGAGCTCCTGCAGAGGTGACGACTCGACAAACTCGCGCGTGAGGACCGCCGTGGCCAAGGGCGGGTTGCCGACGCGCAGGCGGTGGAGCGGCAGCGCGCGCAGCAGGTCTTGGACGAGTGCGGGACCGGCGACGAGACGACCGGACGGGAACTCTGCGTGGTGTCGAGAGACAGCGTCAGTCAGAGACCTCGGGCGGGCAGACGACGGAGTGGGACGCACCTGGCGGAACCCACTCGTCGGCCAGCTCGACCAGCTCTGACAGCTCGGCCCCGGTCGGCAGCTGCAGCCGACGTCCTCGAGGGCTCTCGAGACCTGCACCTGGAGGGTTCCACACGGGAAACTCGCAGTGCGCGTCGATCAAGAGGTAGTTGACCTCGCGGACCCTGGACGGCTCGCGCTCGAGGTGGTGGCAGAACGACAGGAGCTGGTCGGGCGACCGCAGGGCGGGGGCCCTGTGGAACAGGTAGTCGATGACGGGGCTGATCCTTTTGCAGATGGTGAGGTAGCCGCGAGTGTAGCCCGACCGCGCGAAGATGAGGGCGAGGAGGAAGTCGTCGAGCGCGCAGAGCCGGCTCTGTAACCGGTGAGATGTCAGGCCCTGCCGATTTAAGCGCTTCAGTCGAGCGATGACGCACCTGCGTCTGTGCGTCGGCGTCGTCAAAGGCGGCCATGCCGGTCGTGAGGCCGTTGAGCGAGGCGAGCAGGAGGCTCGAGGACGGCGACGAGCGTGACGGCGGGGCCGCGTGCAGCAAGATGCACTGGCTGGTCGCGCAGCAGATGCACGCTGTGCTCTTGCAGTCACTGGTCGACAGCGGAGCGTGAGGACGAGAGCCAAGCGGCGACAAGGCGAGCCGCAACTCTCTCTGCTCCGCTCACCCTCGCCCCGACCAGCAGTGTGCCGGCCAGACCTGCTCAGAGCTGTGCCAGACGCCAGCCCCGCCCCTCGACCGACCTGTGCGCCCGTCGACCATGCCGAGTCCGCGCACCTCGTCCAGTGGGGACGACGACCGCCAGACCGACGCGACCCCGCTCCTCGGAGGGTCTGCAGGTGTCCAGGTCAAGCCCGAGCTGCGAGAGGGCAAGGCCACCGTCGTGTCGTGCATCGCCAACCTCGCCAGTGCGCCCCCTGCTCCCACTCCCCTCCCTCCTCGACTTCTCATCAGCTGATCGTTCTTCCCTCCCTCCCTCTCCCTCCTGCACCCGCCCTGCCATGCACAAACAGACACCATCATTGGCACTGGCTCACTCGCAATGTGCGCCACGCCCCTCTCCCCGTCTTCTTTTGGACGACCCACAGCTCACCTCGGGACTCCCTCTCGCGCCTCGCAGGGCGCACGCCTTCTCCGGCGAGGGCCTCATCCCGGGCATCGTCATGGTCATGGTCTGCGGAGGCGCAGCCGCGTTCGGCCTGTACCTCTTGACCCGGAGCGCCGCCATGGCACCGCACCGCGCCGCGAGCTTCTCGTCCCTCAGCACCCTCACCTATCCCGGCCTCGCACGATTGTGCGTCCCTCCTTCCTCATCTTCCTCTGCCTCGAAACAGACCTGACCTGACAAGTCGCCGACCCGCAGGTTCGACTTTGCCGTCGCGCTCAAGTGTGCGTCCCGCCCGCCGACTACGCCGACCACCCCACTGACCTTTCTCCCTCCCGCACAGGCTTCGGCGTCTCCATCTCGTACCTCATCGTCATCGGCGCCCTCGTCCCCAAGGTGCGCCCCACCATCTCTCTCTGCCCTGCCCACTCCTCGAGCCTGACTGACTCGCACTCGCGCCCCCAGGTCGTGCACTCGTTCAACCCGGACCTGACCGACAGCGTCCTGCTCGACCGGCGCCTGTGGATCCTCGCGTCCATGACGCTCCTGTGCCCACTCGCATTCTTGCGCCGCCTCGACAGCCTCAAGTTGACGTCGTACATCGCCCTCTGTGCGATCGGTTACCTCGTGCGTCCCCTCGCTCCTTCTCCCTCTCCCTCCTCCCTCGCCGCCCCGCCTGACCGTCGACGTCCCGCAGATCTTCGTCGTCGTCTTCTACACGTTCGTCTCGCACGAGCACCTGCCGCCGTCGGGCGACGTCGAGCTGTTCCGGTTCGGGCCGTCGTTCATCCAGAGCCTCCCGGTCCAGGTCTTTGCGTTCACGTGCGCCCAGAACGTGTTTGCCGTGTACAACGAGGTCCGGACGGTGAGTCGGGCTGGCCTGTCTTGCGTTCGGGGGGACGAGCACGACCGAGACGACCGTCGGGCACTGACCTCCCTTGCACGCGCGGTGTCCACGACGCAGAACTCGCAAGCGCGGCTCAACCTCGTCATTGGGACGTCGATCGGCGGTGCAGCCATCATCTGTGCGTCGCGCGTCGTCCTCTCTGCGTCTTGTCGTGAGGAGCTTTTGCCTCGTCGTCGAGCGGACGCTCACCAGTTTGAGCCGACGCAGACGAGATCCTCGGCATCCTCGGGTACCTCACGTTCGGCGCAGCGGTCGGCGGCAACATTATCGAGTGCGTCCTCCGTGTCCCTCTCTGCCCCTCATTCGGCGGCGACGAGCCCCTGACGCTCGCTTCGACCCGGGCCACAGGATGTACCCACGCACGCGCCTCGTCTCGTTCTGCCAGGTCGGCATCACGATCCTCGTCCTGTTCTCGTACCCGCTCCAGCTGCACCCGGCGCGCGCCTCGCTCGACAAGTTCCTGTTCCCCGTCCAGCCGACCGAGGGCGACCGCGACGACGAGCCGGCATCGGCGGCGTCCGACCACGGTTCGGGCGACGAGATCCCGCTCGGACGGTTCGTCATCGAGAGCGGCGTGCTCCTCTTCTCGACGTTCGTCATTGCCATGTTTGTGTCGAGCCTCGAGGTCGTCCTCGGCTTTGTCGGCGCGACGGGCAGCACGACCATCTCGTTCATCCTCCCCGCCGTCTTTTGTGCGTCCCCCTCTCACCCTCCCTCTCCCTCTTCTCTTCTCTCCCGCCTCACAGAGCCGCACGCCTGACCCCTTGCCCCTCCTCGCCGTGCGCCCACCCAGTCCTCTCGCTCTTCAAGGGCTCGACCGACCCTCGCGACCAGCGCCTGCGCCTCGCCGCCATGGCCCTCCTCGCGTGGGGCGTCCTCGTCATGGTCGTCTCGCTGTCGCTCAACGTGTACCACCTCGTCGTCAGCAGCAGCCAGCCGGCGCAGGCGCACAACAGCCTCCACACGCTCGGGTACCTTGGCGGCAAGATGCACGGGCACCAGGGCGCGGTGGGCGAGGCGCTCGTGGATGGCGTCGCGAGGGGATAGAGAGCGAGGGAGAGAGGGAGCATTGGTTGTACACTGTGTCGTCGGTCTCGTTTGCTCAATAGATCTTGTCGTTGCCCCCCCTCGTGTTTGAGCGAGAGCGACGAAATGCGGCCCTCGCTTTCTCGCTTCTGCTCGCCACCTGGCTCGCTCCGGCTCGTTCGGCCGCTCTCTCGAGTCGACAGCGCAAAGCCGCGAGAGCCGCCTGAGCCCGACGCACGCACCGCCTCGCGTCCTCGTCGACCCGTCCCTCTTTCCCCATTCCCTCGCCCGACTCGCCGTCTCGCGCAGCCCTTGTCCCTCTCGCGCTTTCGTGCGCCTCCTGCGTATCCCTCGCTGTAGCTTGTCCTGCAATGGGCCGTGCGGTGTAGCCTGTACGCTCTTCCAGAGAGATCGAGATATGCTGCCTGCGCGCGAGCTTGCGACGCCCGTGAGCGAGCAGCGCCGCGTCGAGCGCCTGCTCGTGCTTCTGCGAGGTCGACGTACTCTGAGAGAGAGAGAGAGAGAGGCAGAGCGCGTGGAGCGGCGCACAGACTCTGCCGGAGGAGGCCCGAGCGGGGCGCACTATCGTCGCTCGCTCTCGCTCTCTCGCTCTCGCGGGCCTTCTCTCCTCGCAGCTCCTCATAGACGGCTCGATGTGCTCGATATTGCAAGCTAGAAAGGCCTCGAGCGCTGCAGCTTGTAGTGCGAGGGCCCGTGCGGGTACGCTTCCGAGTCGGCGGTGTACCGCCTGGCGAGCGAGTGCGATGCCGTACCTGCGTGAAGGAGCTGTTCCGAGGTCAAGAGACGTCAGAGTGCTGCCAGGGGTGAGAGAATGGGGAGAAGAGGACGGACCCGGGCGTGCGCGAGTGCTGAGTTGAGGCCGGCGAGCTTGCTCAGGATGGGTAGAGCGTGCTGCATGCTGGCCTCGTCCGTCTTGACGAGCTGTAGGTGCAAGAGAGGCTGGTCAGGACATGTTGCGGGTCGTTGACCTGGCGAGACGGAACGAGGGAGAGGGGGGAGACGCTCGACGTTCCGCCAGTGGCCCTCGACGAGATACTCCCTGTACCGGTCGACCTCCTTCTCGACCAAAGCCCAGTCGCTCGCCTGGAGCGTGGAGCGCTCGAGGAGCGTCACCATGCTGCGCAGCCACCGCTCGGCCTCCTTTCGGTCGCGCTCGCCGTCCGGATGGAAGCCGATCCATCCGCTAACGAGGGATTCGAGCGAGAGCTCGACGCCATGCTTCTCGGCAGACATGCTGGAGAGATGGCGAGAGCTGAAGAGAGGCGAGGCAGGAAGCAAAGAGAGGTCGAGGCGAGAGCGGCCGAGCTTGTGACGACGAGCGGAGCAGCCATGCGGGTCCGCGGACCTTCCGACGTGACGGACAGCGGCAGTAGACGCGGACAGGTGGCGAGGCGCGTGCAGGTGCGGGCTGACCGCCGACACCTCGCGGCGATGGCTTCTCGAGGCTGAGCAGGTCCGCGCTCCCGCCCGAGGGCAGGCCAGCTCAGCGAGAGATGCTTGTGTAAGTTAGAGGACAGCGCTCGTCAGACGCTCTCGGCTGACTCAAGCTTCCCTCGCGCGAGATCTCCCCAAGAAGCGGCCCGAGCGGCGAAGCGCAGTCGGCGCAGCAGTCTGAATCCAAATCTCTCTCGCCGTTGCGTCTCGCGACCGCTACAACCTCGCCCAGAACAAGGTCTCGACGCTCCTCGCCCGTCCTGAACGCTCCTGCCGCCCGAGCTAGTAGCGCCTCGAAGTGTGGGACCCGAAACGCTCGTCGTCGGCCATACGGCGCCTCGAGAGCGAGCGGTCGTAGTGATCCTGTTGCGTGCGCAGGCTCGAGCTAGTCAGGACGGGAGCTCGCAGAATGTTGGACAAAGAGGAAGGAGAGGGGACGCACCTCGCCGAGGCCGCTGTGGAGCGCCTCCTCGAGGCGCCTCGCGGCGACGGCGGCGTCTTCGAGCGCGCCAAGGATGGGCACCATGTGGCGCGTGTGCGGCGAGCGCAAGTCGGGGAGCTGCAGAGGAAGGCTCGTCAGTGAACGAGCGCTCGTCGGGGGGACAGAGAGGGCACAAGGGTCGACGCACGGCCTGGTGCTGGGCACCGCGAGCGACCGAGTTCTTGACGTTGACGAGCTCGCGCTGGACGGCGGACCACTGCTCGGTCGTCCAGCCGTCCGTGTGCTCCTTGAGCAGGCCCTTGGCGTGCCAAAGCCAGGTGGTGACGAGGTCGTCCGCGGCACGAGCGTGGTCGTTATGCTTCACATAAGCGAACTCAAGGTCCGAGATGGCGAGATCGACGCTCGACGGGAGCTCCTTGCCGAGGTGCTGGGGACGGCCGGTCATGATGTGGTGGCGTCGAGAGAGTGCGGGAGAAGGTGAGAGCGAGAAGCAGGGCCAAGAGAGAGCGAGCCGAGGACGGCTTGAGCGAGCGACAGCGGTTCGTGCGTCCGCGGACACGCCGAGGACAGGAGCCTCTCGACACCGGCCCGGCAAAAGACGGTCGAGCGGCAGTAGAACGCGAGAGACGTCTATTATTCACGTGCGTGCGAGGCGAGCGAACTCGTCACGCCTTGACCTCCTCCTCGCCCTTCTTCTCCTCCTCCGCCTTTCCCGGCACCGCCGCCGCCGCCTTGTCTGCCTCGTCTCCCTCGGGAACCTCGACATGGCCATAGTCGTCGACGTTGATGTCGTTGAGGCCGAGCTCCTCGTTTTGGAAGTGGGACCGCTCGTAGTCCTCCTGGGTGAGGGACGGGTCGGGGTCGGGCGCGTACTGCGGGTGGGGGCGTGCAGGGGAGCGTCAGTGCGGCTCGACGGCGTGTCGGACATGGGAAAAAGGGAGAGAGAAGAGAGAAAGAGGGAGACGCACGAGCGACTGGATGAACGAGTTGGCGAGCGGGTCATCGAGGACGACCGTAAAGGGCGTCTCGACCGCCATGGCCTGCACGCGAGCAGTGAGTCGACATGATCGTCAGTCCCTGCGTCGAGAGCCGCAGAAAAGGAGACGACGAGAGGACCGAGCCGCGGGGCGCACCTTCTTGAGGTTGCCCAAGAACACCTGCATGTTGTCGGTCGCGCCGGGCGCTGCCGCATCGCCGTGCGCAAACGCCTTGCCGTCGAGCTCCTCGTACACCTGCTGGAGGAGGCCCTCGAGCGTCGTGAACCGCCCGCCGAGCGTGCCCGGGTTGAGCTCGAGGTCGATCTCGGGGATGTACAGGCCCGCCGTCTCGGACTGTGGGGTTGCGGGCGCGAGCGAGGGCGGTCGCCAGGTCAGGTGTCGCTCCGTCACTCGCTCGACGAGGAGAGAGAGAGAGCGAGGCGCACCTTGAGGATGTCGCGGCTGAGGTCGTCCGACTCTTCGACCTTGAGCGTAATCTTGCGGCCCTTGTCGGCGATGGCGCCGCCCGACTTGACCTCGGTGTCGCGGTACCCACAGTCGTGGCAGTTGGTCGACATGAGGATGATGTCCTGCAGGAAGGGGGCCGAGCGAGCGAGGACGGGGCGAGGGGGCAGGAGGAGGAGGGAAGGACGAGAGAGGTCAGTCGGGCGCCCGACGTTGCGAGAGAAGGAGAGAAGACGGGACGCACCTTGAAGTGAGGGATGTTGACCTTCTTCATGAGCGTCTCGAGCTCGCTGCCGCACAAGCTGCACACGCCGGGGAAGCTGAGGACCTCCTCGGGGTAGTGGCTCGTCGCCTTGTCGGCCTCGTCGTCGTGCTTGAGCCCGAGCGCCTCGTCCTGCTGCGCATCGCGGCCGTACTCGCGCTTGGCCCACTTTGGGTCGCCGAGCCCGCCCCGGGTCTCGACAAACGAGTTGCCCGACGGGTCGTCGAGCTTGAGCGTGAACGTCGGCATGTCGCTCGACGACGACGTCGCGTACGGGATCGGGTTGTTGTCGGCGTCAAGGAGCTCGGGGAGCTCGACGTCGGGCACGAGGATGCGCAGCCGGGCGACGAGCTCGGCAATCTTGTCGTGCAGGTCCGGGTGCTGGATCTTGCGCAAGGGCTGGTCGTGCAGGAGGTCGCGGATCGTGTCGGCGAGGACGCCCTCGACGGTCGTGAACTGGCCTCGGCCTTGCGGGATCGTGAGCTGGTACTCGGGGATCGAGATGGTGCAGTGCTCCGACTTGACGAGCTGGCGGTCGAGGTCGTCGCGCGAGGTGCACTTGACCGTGTAGACGGCGCCGAGCGGCTGGATCTCGCCCGCCGACTGGATCTCGTTGTTCTTGTAGCCTGTCGGGGAAGTCGTGTCAGGTTTCGGGTGCAGGAAGAGAGGGAGCCGCGGGCCGGAAGGTGGCAAGAGAGAGTGACGGACCGCAGTGCTCGCAGCGGAACGAGACGACGATGACCTCGCGGAAGTAAGGGATGACGGTGAGGAGCATGCGGGTCTCGCCCTGCTCGTGGCACTCCATGCACAGCGACTCGATGACCTCGACGTTGACGTCGCCTGCGCCGACGGCCTCGCCGATGGGACGCCACTGGCTGTCCTGCTGCTGCGGCTGCTCCTGAGTGCTCATGGCTGGCGGATGGACTGGCTCGACGGGTGTAGGCAGTCGGGGCGAGGTCGGGAAGAAAGTGGGCGGCGAGGCTGATGCGAGCGAGTCGGGTCGGGGACGGCTCGGGCGGTGGTGGGTTCGAGTGCGAGGGTGGTTGTGCGAGGTGTGCGAGTAGGTTGGCGGTGCTCTAGTGCTCGACTGGCGGAGTGCGACAAGAGCGAGCTGGTGGTCGAGAGCAAGGGAGGGCGGTGCAGCTCTCTCCCTCGACGTCCACCCAACTGCCGCAGCTTACCGACAGCGAGTGCACCCGCCTCAGCGCACCCTACTGCGCCCGCCATGGAACCCTTGCGCGCGCGTCGCTCGGCCCACGACCGCCCGCTCGCCTCGTCCACCTCGTCGTCGTCGTCGCCCTCCGCAGCACCCACCGCCGCACCCGCACCGCCAGCCTACCCGCCGAGCCCCTACAGCCAGACCGCCAAACCCTCGCTGTCGACCCGCACCCGCAAACCCTCGCTCAGCGACGACGCCGGCCAGCGCAGCGCCTCGAGGGGACGAGGTGCTCCACGCGCTCGCGCGTCCGGCTTCTGGCACCGCTGCGGCGGCGGCCTCGAGGCCATGCAGCACGGCGAGTCGCGCATCTTGCTCGGCTTGACCCTCGTCGGAGCCGTCGTGCGCTACTGGAAGATTGGCCGCCCTTCGAGCGTCGTGTGCGTCGACCCTCTCTCTCCTTCTTGAACGCGTCGTTCTGACGCTCTCTCTCTCTCTCCGTACGCAGGTTCGACGAGGTCCACTTTGGCGGGTTCGTCTCTCTTTCGCGCCAGGTCGAGGTGCAGGACCGCTCGCTGACCCTCCTCTTGTCCCCTCGCAGGTTCGCCAACAAGTGCGTTCTCGCGCCTCTCGCAGCCCCGGGACAGTCCTGACGACGCTCGCCGCGCACAGGTACATCCAGTCGCGGTTCTTCATGGACGTGCACCCGCCGCTCGCCAAGCTCCTCATCACGCTCGTCGCGTGGGCCTCGGGCTTCCAGGGCGGCCAGTTCGACTTCAAGGACATCGGCCGCGAGTACGGGCCCGACCACGTCCCTTACATCGCCATGCGCCTCCTCCCCGCCACCCTCGGCCTCGCCCTCATCCCCATGTCGTACCTCACCCTGCGCGCGCTCCAACTGCGCCCGGCGACGGCCCTCCTCGGCGCCCTGTTCGTCACGTTCGAGAACGGGCTCATCACCCAGTCGCGCCTCATCCTCCTCGACTCGCCCCTCATCTTTTTCACGGCCCTGTCGGTCTTTTTCTGGGTCGGCTTCTCGAACGAGAACGACGTCGCGCGCGACCGCGCCGGCCGCGTCGGGCCCTTCTCGCGCCGGTGGTGGGCCTGGTTGACCCTGACCGGCCTCGCGCTCGGCGCCGTCGTGTCGTGCAAGTGGGTCGGCCTGTTCACGATCGCGACCGTCGGCGTCTTTACCCTCGTCCAGCTGTGGCTCCTCCTCGGCGACCTGCGCGTCCCGGTCCCGCTCCTCGCGCGCCACTTTGCCGCCCGCGCCGCGTGCCTCATCGCCGTCCCCGTCGTCTTTTACGTGTCGATGTTTGCGATCCATTTCGCCATCCTGAGCAACTCGGGCGAGGGCGACGGCTTCATGAGCTCGGAATTCCAGCACACGCTCCGAGGGCACGGCATGGAGGACACGTTCGCCGGTGCGTCCTCTCTCTCTCTCTTTCGTCGGACACTGTCGATAGCCAGCAGGTCCTGATGGTCCCCTCCCACAGACGTCATGATCGGCTCTCGCCTGTCGATTCGGCACGTCCACACGCAGGGCGGGTACCTGCACTCGCACCCGGCCACCTACCCCGGCGGCAGCAAGCGTGCGTCCCTCTCTCACTCTCTCTCTCCTTGAGCGACGCACGGACCCCTGACGCTCGTCGTCGTCGTTCGGCCCGCAGAGCAACAGATCACGCTGTACCCGCACCGCGACGACAACAACATCTGGCTCGTGCTCAACTCTACGGCCGACGGCTCGATCCCGGACCCCGAGACGCACGCTCCGCCGCACCCGATCCCGGACCGCACGACGATCGTGCTGCACCACCCGTCGACGCACAAGAAGCTGCACTCGCACGACATCCGGCCGCAGGTGACCGAGGTCGACTACCAGAACGAGGTGTCGGCGTACGGGTTCGAGGGCTTCGAGGGCGACGCCAACGACTTTTGGGTCGTCGAGATCGACCAGGCCGAGTCCGAGGGCCGCGTCGCCAAGAAGCAGCTCGAGACGCTCCGCACCAAGTTTCGCCTGCGTCACGCCCTCACGGGCTGCTACCTGTTCAGCCACAAGGTCAAGCTCCCCGACTGGGGCTTTGAGCAGCAAGAGGTGACGTGCAACAAGAACCCGAGTCGCGAGAACGCCCTGTGGTACATCGAGACCAACACGCACGCCATGCGTGCGTTCCCCTCTCCCTCTCCCTCCTTCTCCTCTTCTTGCGCCCCTCGCCCGACCCTCATGAGACTCGTCACTTACGCCCGCTCATCGCGCGCGCAACAGTTCCGCCCGACGCCAAGAAGGTCAACTACCGCCGGCCGTCGTTCCTGCAAAAGTTCGCCGAGCTGCAGGCCGTCATGTGGCAGACCAACCAGGGCCTGACGGACCGCCACGCGTACGACTCGAGGCCTCACAGCTGGCCTCTGCTCCTGCGCGGCATCAACTTGTGCGTCCCTCCTCCCTCCTTCCCTCCTCCTCTCCTCGCCGCGCCGCACGAGGTCCTGACGACGCTTGCACTCGCAGCTGGGTCAAGGACCACCGCCAGGTGTACCTCATCGGCAACCCGTTCGTGTGGGCCCTGTCGACGCTCGCCGTCCTGTCGTACGCCGGCGTGCGAGGCCTGCTCATCCTGCGGGCGCAGCGAGGGTACAAGGACTTTGCGCACTGTGCGTCCTCGCTCCCTCTCTCTCTTCGTGTTGCGCGACGGCGAGACGCACATTCGACTCGGTCACTCACGTCGTCGCCCCTCGTCGCAGCCCAAGTCGTCTTCTACGACCGCGTCGCCACCTTCCTCTTCTGCGGCTGGTTCCTGCACTACGCACCCTTCTTCCTCATGGGCCGCCAGCTCTTCCTCCACCACTACTTCCCGGCCCTGTACTTTGCGCTCCTCCTCACGGCGACGGCGTTCGACCTCGCGACGGCGCGCCTCCGGCCGCGCGTGCGCCTCGTCGTCGTCGGCGCCCTCGTCGCCGCCGCCGTCGTCGCGTGGTGGGCCCTGAGCCCGCTCGCGTACGCGGGAGAGTGGACCAGGGCAAAGTGCGACAGGGCAAAGACGTGGGGCAAGAACTGGGACTTTAGCTGCGCCGACTTTCACCCGTCGGTGCGTCCCTCGCCGTCTCTCTCTCTCTCTCTCTCTCTCTCTCCCTCTCTCTCTCTCTCTTGCGAGAGCGCCACTGACCTCGACTGTCTTCCCTGACGCAGTACGACGCCTACCACCCGACGCACGTCCCCTCTCTCGACCCCGCCGGCGCCTCGGCCGCCACCTCGATCGCGCCCGCGGTCCAGCCCGGCCGCGCCGGCTTCGTCCCCGCCGACAAAGCGCCCGAGTCGTCGGCCGTCCCGCCGGCGCCTCACGCGCCTCACGCGCCTCACGACGCCGCCGCCGCGCCGGTCCACGACGAGGAGCGCGACGGGCCCTTGTTCGCGCCCGTGGGCGAGGCCGAGCGCGCTGCGGCCGGGCGCGAGGACGCCGTGCAGCACGACGGCGGCGAGCAGGAGCGGGAGCAGGAGGAGGCAGCGGCGCACGTTACGCGCGTCGTGGCGGACCAACCGGCGGCGCCGCCGGGCGCTGGCGACGGCGGCGGCGGCGACGAGGCGGCGGGCGAGGGGGTCGCGATCCCGGCTGCGGCCGAGGGCACGAGCGCGCTCCCTGTGCGGGCCATCGTGCAGGCTGAGGAGGCGGGCGGTGGGAGGGCGGCGGGGCATGCGGCGGCGGAGGAGGACACGAGCGAGAGGGAGAGGGAGGAGGAGCGGGAGCGCGCGGTCGAGGAGAGGAGCGAGAGCGCCGGGGAGGACGAGGCCGACATTGCGCTCGATGGGGACGCTCAGGTCGACGAGGTGGTCGACGACGACGTCGACGTCGAGCAGGGAGACGTCGCCGACGAGCAGTGAGGGGTACGCTGTGCTGCCTCTCGCCCTCTCTCTTCTTCCCTTTCCTCCTTCTCGCCGTGCCCACCTCTTTCCTCTCTCTCTCTCTCTCTCTCTCTCTCTCTCTCTCTCTCTCGCATCCCTGCAACACGCACCCTCTCTCTCTCTCTCTCTTCCTCTCAAGTCCTGCGCGGCCGAAAAAGACGAACGGGCTTTGATAAAGATTCCAGGCTCGCGAAAAAAAAGGAGGACAGAGAGAGAGAGAGAGAGAGACGCGAAAGAGAGGGCTCGTGCGCGCCCTACGGACCGGCCCCCGGTTCTCAGAGCTTTGCGAGTCAACTGCTCTTGGGCGCCACCTCTGCGAGCGACTCGCGGAGGGCGTCCATGACTTTTGCGACGTCGGTCGGGCGCTCAACGACCTGCGAGGGGGGGCGGGCGGGAGGGGGTCAGTCAGGACGAGGGACGAGGACGAGCCGGGTCGGGCGGTGGGAGAGAGAGAGAGAGAGGGAGGCTCACACTGACGCCCATGTGGCCGAACCTGTGAGCCGACAAGCACAAGTGCAGTCAGTCTCAGTACTGCTCGAGAGAGAGAAGGAGACGGACGACCGAGGCGAAAGGAGGGCGCGCGAGCTCACCGGATGTACTTGGTCTTGATGTCCTTGTGGAGGCCGCCGGCAATGACAATGTCGCGCTTTGCGAGCGCGCCAATGAGGGCCGGCGGCGGCACGTCCTGGGGCGTGTACAGGGCCGTCATGCCGTTGGCGCACGCGTCGTCCTCGACGGCGACCGTCTCGAACCCGAGCTCGCGCGCCTCCTTGCGGAAGCGGGCCGAGGCCTCGCGGTGCAGCTTGAAGCGGTCCTCGAGCGAGGTCGGGCCCGCGACGATGCTGTTGAGCGACGCCTCGAGGGCGTAGATGAGGTTGACCGAGGGCGTGGCAAAGTAGGCCGGGGTGCCGGACTCGTACGACTGCATGATGGGGAGCCAGCGACGGTACGACGCAAAGTAGGCCGCGATGGGCGACTCGCGGTTGTCGAGGACGGCGAGCGCGCGGGTCGACAGGGCCGTGATGGACAGGCCGGGCGGGACCGAGATGCCCTTCTGGCTCGCGCCGACGACGCAGTCGATGCCCCACGCGTCCATGCGGATCTCCTCGGACGCGACCGAGCACACGCCGTCGAGGATGACGAGCGTCGACGGCGACACGCGGCGGACCGTCCCGGCGATGGCCTTGGCGTCCGACAGCACGCCCGTCGCTGTGCGACGCGCGGTGTCGACAGGGTCAGGACTGCTTCCTGAGGAGAGAGAGAGAGAGGTGGGACGCACAGGTGTCGACGTGGGTGAACGTGACGAGCTTGAACTGGTCCTTCTTGAGCGCCGCCTCGAGCTCGTCGAGCGACGGCCTCGCGCCGACCTTTGCGGCGCCGAGCTGCGTCACCTTTGCGCCGTACACCTCGAGGCAGTCGGCAAACGCGTCGCCAAAGTAGCCCGTGTTGAGCACGAGCGCCTTCTCGCCGTGCTCGATCACTGCGTTCCGTGCGGGTGAGCTCTCGTCGACGAGGTCTCTGAGGAAGAGGGAGGCGAGGGACGCACAGTTTGCGGCGACGAGGTCCCAACCGAGCGTGCCCGAGCCAGCAATGACAAAGGGTTGGCCCTTGTCGGTGTAGAGGAGCTGGCGGAGCATGCGCAGGCAGTTGCCGAACACGGGCGCGAAGGCGGGCGAGACGTGCGACATGCTCGGGTGGGCATTCTGCGGGCGGGCGCGTGGGTGGGTGGTGGTGGTGCGGGCGCGAGGGACGGTCGGAGGAAGGTGGAGCGACGAGGAGGGAGGGGGGGGGGGAGGTGGGGGACGACAACAGTCAGTGTGCGTGCTCGGCTGCGCTCGTGTGGACCGACACATGCTCTGCGTCTGTCCTGCTGTGCCTCTGATGGCTGCGCAGGCTCGCGTGGCCGAGCGAGTCGACGAGGAGGAAGCCGCGGGGGAGGAGGAGGGCGGGGACTCAACGGCGAACAGGACCTCGTCCGTGACCTCGACCGGGCCGGGGACGCTGAGGAGCTTGTGGGCCGATTGCTTGAACTGGGTCTCGTGGGTCGACATGGTGGGTGGTGCGAGAGGGAGGGACGCGAAGGCCGGCCCGACGGTGCGACGCTCAAAGCCCGGCTCGAGTCGCTCACTCGCCTCGCCACCTGCTGGTCTGCCCACTAGCTGCGAGCATCTCTCGGGCCTCTGAGCACCATCTCGAGCCAGTCGTGCGCGCGCCCGCCGCCCGTGCCCGTCCCTCCACCGCGATGTCCCCACCCAAGATCCGGCGGTCGCCCGCCAAGGCCAGGCCGCCGCAGAGACGCAAGACGGTGCGCTCCGAGCCTCTCTGTGCCACAAGGCAGCGCCCTGACCAGCCCCAGCCACACAGACGCGCTGCATCCTCCCGACCCTCCCTCCCGACCTCCTCCAGCGCATCTTTCGCCACGACCGCGCCATCACGCTCGACAACGCCGCCCTCAGCAAGGCGCTCCTGCCGCACACCCTGAGCGCACTCGCCTACTCGGTCCAGCTGTGGTCCCTCACGACCTTGACCTCGTTCTGCTGCGCCCTCGAGCGCCGCCCGTTCCTCGTCGACGGCGTCGAGCACGTCGAGCTCGCCGTCGCAAGGCCAGAGGACGTCGACGCCGACGTCGAGTGGTGGACTCCCGCGTCGAGCAGTGCAGGAGCAGGCCAACTCGCCAAGAGCCGCAAGGAGCTCGCATCTCGCAAGAGTGCGTCGTTCCGTCCTCCCTCTGCTCTCCTCAGTATAGGATCGAGCCCTGACCTTGTCGCCCTCGTGCAGAACGCCCACAAGTACCAGAGCAGCTCGTCGTCGGACCAGGGCTCCTGCGCGACCTGTTTCGCCTGCTGCCTCGTATGCGCACCCTGCGCGCCGTCGGCCTCGAGGTGTACCGCATCCTCCTCGCGCCCGACTACCTCGAGGAGAAGCCCTTCCCGCGCCTCGCCGGCATCGTACTCGGCGTCGACCCCGACTACCTCGGCGAGGACCTGCGCGAGCCGGACGACAACGCCCTGTTCGCCAACCTGTCGCTCATCTCGACCTTGCGCAGCGTCATCCTCGAGACGAGCGCGCACGACCTTCCCGTCACTCGGCTCAACCTCGGCACGGCCACGTACCTCGCGCCTCGCAGCCTGTACCTGCCGACGCTGCAGGTCCTCGACTTTGGGCGCATCGGGCCCGAGGCGAGCACGCTCTTCTCCGCGCTGCGCCCGGGCCTCACGAGCCTCGTCATCAGCTGCCAGTCGTTCTACAAGGGCTTCGACACCGACCTGATCCGCCTGCCGCCGACGGTCGTCACCCTGTCGCTCACGGTCGGCCTGCCGTGCCCGTTCTTCTTCGCGCCGGCCGTCGCGCCCAAGGTCGACAGCCCGGTCCTCGCTCTCGCCCTGCCCAACCTGCGCCACCTGCACCTCAGCGGGCCTCTCGTCTCGCCTTCGACCTTCCCCAACGTCATCGAGCGCCTCGCCGACCTGCGCACCCTCACGCTCGGCACCCACACCGACCTCGACGGCGCACAGCTCGTCGCCTTCCTGCGGCGGCGCCGCCGCACGGCCCTCTCGCCTCGGCCCTCGCCCTCGCCCGCCCCCTCCCTCGCGGCCCTCCACATCCACCTGTGCGGCTGCGACCCGTCGACCGACACGCTCGCGCTCGAACCGGGCCTCGTGCGCCGCTCGGCCGCGCTGCGGTACCACAGCGACCAGTTCAAGCTCGCGCGCAAGCCCAACTGGCCGCCCGGGTTGAGCGAGGACGACATGCGCGAGGTGGCGCGCGTTGGGCAGGAGAAAGGGGTCGTGATTGGCGGGTCGTGCGTGTGCGCGCTGGGGATGTGCGGCGGGGACGGGGAGGGAGGGCATCGCTGCCCTGAGGGGTGGGCGTGAGGGGAGCGGGCGCGAGGAGCAGCTTTGGGCGGTGGGCACGGGTCGAGCGGTGACGAGCGGCGCGAGCGGGCGGGGCAGCGGACGACGAGCGGCGCAGGGGGAGGAGCAGGAGCGGGTGCTCGGACCTCTCCTTTCCTCGCACTCGTCTTCCAGCCAAGGCCTGCAACCCGCGCCCTTCTCTCCAGCATGTTTGAGAGATCGTCGAGATCGTCAGCTCGCCGTCGCAGTCGAAGCCAGCCGGCGTCGGCGTCCTCGTCGACGGCACTCCGCGGAAGGTCCGCCGCTCGCTCCTCCTCCTCCTCTTCCCTCTCCCGCTCACTCGCCCGCTCTCTCTCGCCCAGAGCCGAGATCAGTGCTCTCGAACGTCGCCTGTACCGCCCTGTCGAGCCAAGGCGCACCCTGCCAACGATGCCGTCGCCGTCCAAGTCTCGCCGCCGCCCGGGCAAAGTTCCGCCTCGCCCGCCGCCCCGACACAAGACGGTACGTCGAGCCTCTCCCTCACAGGCGATCATGAGCTCACGAGCGCAACCACACAGACGCGCTGCATCTTGCCGGCTCTCCCGCCCGACCTCCTTCAGCGCATCTGTCGCCACGACCGCGCCATCACGCTCGACAACGCCGCCCTCAGCAAGGCGCTCCTGCCACATACCCTCGTCGCACTCGCCAGATACCCGCTCCTGAACGGTCCCGACCGGCTCGCCTCGTTGTGCGTCGCCTTGCGCCGGCGCCCGTTGCTCGTCGACGCTGTCGAGGAGCTCGACCTGTCGTTCGAGACTGTGTACGACGCCGGCCACACTTTCGTGTACGAGGGGCCGCAGTGGACGCCTGGAGCGATCCAGGGGCAGCTCGGGCGAGACAGGAAGGAGCTCGAGGCGCGCAAAGGTCCGCCCGTCTTTCTCAACTTGCTCCTGGACGACTCGAGCCCTGATGCTCCACCGCTCGCAGGTCAACATGTCGACGTCGAGAACTTCAAGTTGAGTCCGAGCCTGCTGCAGGACCTGTGCGGACTGCTGCCCAACTTGCGGCGGCTGCGGGTGTACGGCGTGCAGACGTACGGGCACCTCGTCGAGCCGCAGTACCTCGCGCAGAGGCCCTTTCACCGCCTGCACACACTCGAGCTCCTGTCGCGCGGTCTATACGCCGGTCCCGAGGTCTACGAGCCGCAGCATCAAGCCCTGTTTCGCAACATTGCCCTCATCCCGACTTTGCGCCACCTCATCCTTGATTCGTCCGACGTCGAGGAGCTCCCGAGGAACAACCTCGGCGTCGACCCGTCGACCTTTGTGCCGCCTCGAAGCATCTACCTCAAGAGCCTCGTGCTCAGCAACTTATCGCTCATCGGCATCGAGGTGCGCGCCGTCTTTTCGGCGCTCCAGCCCGGGTTGACGTCCGTCCATATCTCATCGCGCGCCATGTACGACGGCCTCGTCGACGACCTCGTCCGCTTGCCGCCGACCGTTCTTCGCCTGTTGATCACCCTCGGCGACGAGTGCCCGCGGTTCGTCTACCCGGACTCGGGCCCCAAGTTCGACTCGCCCCTCCTCCCGCTCGCCTTTCCCAATCTCCAGCACCTCGGCCTCGACGGCCCCCTCGTCTCTTCCTCGACCTTCCCCGACGTCATCCTCCGCCTATCCGACCTGCACTGCCTCACGCTCGGCGCGCACGCCGACGTCGACGGCGCCGGGCTCGTCTCGCTCCTGCGCGGCGGCCCGCCCTCGTGGCCCAAGATCCGCCACCTCACCCTCGACATCTGCCAGTGCGCCTCGCTCTCGTCGTGGCCCGCAACTGGGCTCTTCTCCCCGCCCCTCGTCCCGGCGCGCGTGCCGCGCTTCGTCTTCGACCCCGACGCCCTCCCGCACTCGCACCACGAGCCGCACGACCCGCCTTGCACCGACTGCGGTCGAGGGCTCGGTGTCGTCTCGTGGCCGGCGCGGCTGCGCCTGGCCGACATGCGCGCCATCGCCATGATCGCCGTCAACAAGGACATTGACGTGCGCGGTTCGGCGGTCTGTGCGGCGCGCATGTGCGGCGGCGACGGCGCCGAGGGACACAGGTGCCCGACTGCGTGGGCGAGGGCGGGCTGAGCAGGAGGAGCGGAGCGGGGCGAGCGAGCGGGACGAGGGTCCGAGGGAGGAGCGGGCGAGCGCGAGTTGAGAAGGTCGAGAGGGGTCGTCGGGTCGGTCGCGGTAGAGGTGGGAGCGGACCCCACCTGCAACGTCGACGTGTCGAATACAGCACTGCGAGTCGCAGCCCGAAGCTTGCGCGAGAGAGCGACGAGAGCGGAGTGGCCCGGCCGATTCTGCGAGCGCTTTCCGCCCGCTCGGACCTCGAGCCCGCGAGCCCGCCTTGTCTTTGTCCCCTCATCGTCTCGCACATGCTCTCGCTTCTTCAAGGGCTCAGGATCGTCGACAAGGAGCCCCCTTAACCTGCCCTTGCCTCGAGGCTCGCTCGACGCGGACCTGCCGAACTTCGTCGCGAGCAGCCTCCCTCGCGCGAGGTTCTCTCGCAATCTTTTGCCTCGCCCGCTATCGATCGCTCGTGTGTAGCCGAGCTTTGACACCTGCGCGCTCGAGGAGAGATGCGAGCGCATCTGCCGCGACGGCCTGTGCGCGAGAAGAGAGACAGAGAGCGGACAGGCTCGGGCTGAGAAGGCGACGTTTGCGACTCGCGGGTTTTCGGCTCGCTCGGGCTCACTCTCACGGGCAAGAGACTGAGAGCGTGAGAAAACGACGTGAATGCGCAGATCTAGACAGGAGAGACCGATGCGGAACCCGTGAGAGACGCGTGACGAGAGGACGAGGAGAGAATGGGTGTACAGGACCATGCGGACGCGATGCAGGACGGGACGAGGACTGAGCTGGGCGTGATGAGGGGGTAGTAGAGACAGAGGAATGAGGCGAGAGGGGTACAGTGGCGATGGAGGGTAAACTTGTCTGAGGCGGGGTTTTCTTCGAGCGACGACGAGTGACCAGCAGGCGAGGACGCGCGGAATTAGGCCGAGATGAGGGCGACGGTGTCGACGACGACAGGGGGAGATGAATGTTGGGCCGACAATGATGATGAGGGGTACGAGGAGCGTGATGTGGGCGAGGAGAGTCGGCGAGTCGAGGATGGACCGGGTCGGGGAAGGTCGACTCGTCACGGGCGACGCTGGCGCTGCGGGCGACGGACCGAGACAAGAGTCAGTGACTGACGATCGCGAGCGAACGAGTGAGAGGCAGAGGGCGCACCTTGGACGTGCGAGCGGGCCCGAGCGGGGCCGACACGGTCGGCGGCGTCAGGGGCGGGGAGAAGGGGAGGCCGTTGCCGCCGGCCGCTTGCGGGAGCGGGAGGTCGACGATGCTGCTCTTGCGGACCTTGGGCGGCTCGTCGATGGCCATGTCGGCGAGGTCGGCAGTGGGCGCGTCGACGGGCGGGAGCGCCTTGGTCGACGAGAGCGGCGTCATCGAGAGGCGCTTGGCGTGGTGCAGGGGGTGGGTCGTCGAGGGTTCGACTCGGGGCGCCGAGAGCGTCGACCACGACGGCTCGGCGTGGCCGAGATCGAGGGGGACCAAGGCGGGAGACGCCGGGAGGGCGAACTCGTCCCGCGAGATCTTCGACGCCGGACCCGCCGCCGCTGCCGCCAGGAGGTGCGCCGGATCGAAGTAGCACGACGGCGCCTTGTCGACGAAGCACAGCCTCGACGAGGGCGATACGGGTGACGGGTACGGGCGGGCGTTGGCGGCGGCGCGAAGGAAAGGTGCGGGCTTGGGAAGGTCGCCGAGGCTCAGCTCGAGCGAGTTCTCGCGCATGCGGTGGTACACCTCGTCGCGTCCACCTGTTGCACGTCGACGAGCGCGCAATGTGAGTACGGGGCCGGGAAGGACGAGAGGGGAAAAGGCGGAAAGGACGCACCTTTGCGAGCATGCGGCGCACGGTCACGGTCGAGCGCAAAGCCCTCGAACGCTGTCGCCGGCTTGGTCGGGCTCGACGCGTGCTGGCCGTGGCTTGCGAACGACGACGACGAGGTGGGCGCTGCGCCAAGAGGTAGAGCCACCGACCCGGGACGAGAGCCGGCGGCGCCGAAGCCACGGCCCGCCGCGGCCGCAGGCTGAGGCGCGAGCGACGTTGGCGACACTGGGTCGTCGACGAGCGCACTCGGGCCTGCTGCTGCACGGCTCGTCGTCGTGGCGGTCGTCGAGAGGGACCAGCCGTCGGCCCACGCGTGCAGGTCGAGCGCGGGAGCTGGTTGCGGGCGGCGGCCGTGGAGAGAGCTCGAGGGAGCGCGGGGTGTCGGGACGGCGTTGGCGAGCATGGCGATGTGCGGCGCGGCGTGCAGGTGCGAGGCGCAGGTGGTGTAGGCGTCAAGGTATTCGAGGGGGAGGAGGGAGAGCTTTTGGAAGAGCTCGAAGGAAGGGTCGCGCAGAGGACGACAGACGACCAGCTCGAGCCAACCGTGCGCGCAGGCCAGAGCCTTCGAGCTTCCGACAGCCTCGGACCTGGAAGGGGCACGAGCGGTATCAAGAGCCCAAGCGGGGGATCGCCGTCGTGGCCAGCCAAACTCAGGCACCAGCTTTCGAAGAGACGCGACGGCCGCAGCGGAACGGCCGGGCGGCGGAGCCGGGGGCTTCTTCTCGCTAGCACAGTAAAGGGGGAACGCCACTCTTTCGCAAACGACGTCGTTTCGACATCGGCGGCGCGCGCGAGCAGCTCGGGGCCGCCCATCTCTCGCCTCGTCGACCCACCTCGAGCGACAGATGCCCGCACCTGCACGCCTGCGTCCCCTCGCCAAGCTCCCCAAAGCCGCAGCAGCCTGCGCAGAAGCTGTGCGTCCCCCTCTCTCCCTCGCCATCGCCCAGGAACCCGCAGAGCGAGAGAGCCCTTCGCAACCCCACCTCCGTCCGCGAGCCTCGACTCCCTCCCGCGTCGCCAGACCCCTTGCAGTCGCCACCCAGCAGGCGCCAGTCCGAGCTCACCCTCTTGCTGCGCACGCAGGGCGCAGCGTACGGCAAGTGCATCGGCGCGAGGTATCAAGAGGTCGAGCGCGACATGTGCCAGCGCGAGTTTGCCGCGTTCCGCCAGTGTGTCGCCGAGCAGGTGCGTGCGCGCGTGCTCTCTCTCTCTCTCTCTCCCCCCTCTTCCGTCGCCGTGTTCTAGCGGCGGGCGCGACGGTGCCTGGTCCGCTCGCTCGCGGACGGCGCTAACTCTCTCTCGCCCCTTGCACCTCGTTTCAATTCTGCTGCAGATGAAGGCGCGAAAGTAGCGCTCGAGTGCGACCTCACCGTCGTCATATCACGGCCCCACCGTCCACCGCGCGTCTCGACGAGGTGCCGGCCCAGGGCGAGACGAGCAAAGCGATTTGCGCCCCTTCAGCTTCCCTCTCTCTCGTCCGGCCGGCCGGCCAGGGCCCAGGGTGCAGGGTGCAGCTGTGTGCGGAGGAGCGGTCGAGCGGGCGGAGCGGGCGCGCGAGGACAACAAGGGTCGGCCGGGTTTGGTGCTGGGTCGTCGTCTCGAGAAGCCGGGTCCGACCGCCGCTCGCGCTCGCCTCGTGGCTCCAGACGTGCTCGCGCGAGCACCCCTCGTGTTTGTACTCTATCACCTTCTTGGAACCCGGCCTTGTTCTGCGTGCGCAGCGAGCAAGAGAGAGAGAGGCGCGAGAGCTTCCCATGTCGCTCGCTCTCGCTCTCGCTCTCGCTCTCGCCACCTGCTGCGGCGCGGCGCTCTCCCTCGAGCGCTTCTCTCTCGGAGCACAGAGTCTCGGCTCGACGTTGCACAGCTCTCGCCTCGCCGTGCCGGCGTACGCGTAACAGCTGCGTGCGCCCCCTCGCTCACTGCGTCGGACCCCGCCCGCCGCCCAGCCAGCTCGAGAGCCACCCGCCTGCCCCGCTCCCGCTCGAGGCCGGCGGCCCCTGCGCGCCCTGCTGCGCCAGTGTCTCGCCGCCGCTCCCGCTCGCCACCGCCACCGACCCCGCCGCTGAGCCGTCGGGTGCCGCCGGCTCCAGGTCTGAGCGATCAAGCCGGCGCGGCGCGACTTTCGCTCGCGGCTGCGGCGAGGGCCGTGGTGGTGGTGGTGGCGCCGGGTCGTCAAAGTTGATCGGCGGGCGGATGGGAGGACGGGCGACGGTGCGAGTCGTCGAGGGGCGGCGGCGGTGGTTGGGCAGGATGTCGGTCATGTCGATGCGCGAGAGGAAGAGCTTGAGCGCTGTGGGAGGAGCGGCATCTGCAGTGCGAGGCGCGTCGCCCGTCAGTCCTCGTCCGCTGTCCGCCGTCTCGAGAGGGGAAGCGAGAGAGGGACGCACAGCTCTGTCGCCCTTTGCCCTTGCCGCCTCGCCCTCCCAGCTCGTCGTGCGCTCCTGCCGCGCCGTCGTCATCGACAAAGAGGCGCACCTCCTCGCCGCTGACCTTGTACCGCGTGCGCTTGACGCGCTCGGCGAGCGCGGCGACGGCGGGCACGGCCGACGGCGTCGAGGTCGAGATGCTGAGGTACAGGAGGGACCGGTCCTGCATTCGGGCGAGCGCGTGTCAGGCGGAGGGCACGAGGCGACGAGAGAGAGGGGGAGGGAAGAGAGAGTGTGAGAGAGAGAGTGTGAGAGCGCACGCACCTCGAGCAGGTGCAGGCAGCGCTCGCAGTGCGCCTCGAGCGCCGGCTCGCTCGTGTCAGTCACCTCGATCTCGTTGGTCGCCAAGGTCGTCAGGCTGCCCTTCTTGCGCTGCTGCGGCGGTGGTCGCGGTGGTTGGGGCGGCAAAGGCGGAGAAGGGCGCAGGCGCGACGCGATGCGGGCGAGGGGCGGTGAGGGCGCGTCGACGGCGGCGGTGGCGAGAGCAGGTGCAGGCGAGGGGTGCGAGTCGACGGGAAAGAGGTGGTCGATGAAGTTGCACAGGGCGAGGAGCGACGCGATCTCGAGACCTGCAGGAGGGACAGAGGTCAGTCGAGGGAGGGACAGGGGAGGAAAGGGAGGACGAAGCGCACCCTTCTTGTCCTGGATGGGCGGCTCGACACGCTGCAGAGAGTGCCCGAGTCAGTCTCGACCGGCTCGAGCGACAGGAGAAGGGACGAGGACGCACAGCGAGGTTGTGGTCGAGCACCTCGATGCTGCCGCCCTTCTTCCTCGGCGAGAAGACGAGGACCGGGAAACTCGGGTCGGGCTTGCGGTCCTGCGCTCGATCGAGTCGTCAGCTACCGACTCGACAAGAGAGAGAGAGAGAGAGACGAGAGAAGGACGCACCGCCGAGAGGGTGTAACCTCGCTCGCCGCCGAGCAGCCCTGCAACGTCCCTCGCCCACGTGAAGCGCGCGCCCTCCCACTCGAGGTCCCAGCACCAGGTAAGGCCGGGCTTGTTGCGCAAGTGCACCTCGGCGGCGGGCGACTCGAGCTCGACGAGGCGGTGCTTCTTGCGGTCGGGTGTCGCGAGAGGGACGGCGGGCGGCGCGGTGCGGGTGCGGCCGAGGAAGGCAGAGGTGGGCGCGTCGTAGAGGGTCACGGCGTCGCTGGACGGGTCCTGCAGGGTCGGTACAGCGTGAGCGGGTGTGCGCCAAGGCGGGGAGGTGGGGGACGAGGAAGGCGCACCTTGAACGCCGCGTACGCTGGCTCGTCTGGCTCGCCGGTGCCAGAGCGATCGATGAGGAAGTCGAGGATGCCAGGCGAGCCGGCTCGAGGGCGCACGAGCAGCGTAAAGACTGTTTGCGGCGAGAGATGAAGCGCGTTAGTCGACGAGAGGGGGGGGGGGGGGGGGCCTGCTTGCTGCAGGGGATCGCCTGCAAAATTCGCG